AAAAAAAAAGATTACTGAGCTACTCCAAATAACCAAATAATTCATCTCTACTGTGAATAACTCATAAACAAACTTCAGTGTTCCACTTGACATTTTTGCAACAGAAAATTCCTATTTATATAACTATTTTTCAAATTCTACCTCTAAGACAATAACTTCAGTTCAAACTTCTTGATATTAGGTAAACGTATTGTCATAGTTAATATAAAACTAGTAACTAAGTACCCTGTGCCTTTTAAAGGTGGAAAAAAATCAGCTTGCTAAAATTATAAAACAAGAAAACACTTATTTACTTAATTATTAAAAACTAAAACCCTGGGGGCCAGGGATTTAGTTCAGTGGTTTCGCCGCCTGCTGCGCAAGCGCAAGGACCTGAGTTCGATCCCCAGTACCAAAAGAAATAAATAAATAAAACTCATGTAAAGTATAGTTGGCAGTGCATGGTTATCTTTTTTCCTAAGACAAAGAAACAAATCCACTTTTTAAACAGTGCCATAAGGCATCTTCTCTAATTTAACCTGCTAAGTTAATGACCATCTGAGTAACACTGAAAAATCTTTATCTCCATTATATCTCACAAAGAATATTAATTTTCATTTCTTCAGTGAATTGTTTGCAATTTCACATTATCCCACTGATTACAAACCTACACAACATTTGTTACACAGCAGTTTCACTTTCTGGGACTTCACTAACTAACCAGCTCCAAGGCCTTTTCTACATGTATTCTAATAATGGTGTAGAGATACACACAACTAAACACATCTTTGCTTTCAATTCCACATACTCACTTCCATTTACATGTTTTTAAAAACAAATGTAGTGTGGTGGCACAAGGACTTAAGAGACTGAGGCTGGAGGATTGTCAAGAGTTTAAGGCCAGCCTGGGATACATAGTGAAAGGCCAGCCTGGACTATATAGTGAGACCCTGTCTCAAAAAGAACAAAAACAAACCAAAAAAAACACAAACGGAAATTCCACTCCGTTCAAAAGACAATTTTAAACAATTCACTAAAGTTTGGAGCCATCAAAATTATCATTAGACTTTACTTTCCTATAAAAAAAAATGCTGTATTAGCTTCCAAATTTAAAACTCTTAAGACTTTGAAATTTTCTGAACATATCCCAAAGTTTTGCTCTTATTAAAATTATACTGTCATTCCTTAGAAATTTTTTAACTTCTCAAAAAGCCACCTTTTTCTCATTCATGAGATAAAAATGCCCAAAGTCAAGTTTTCTTCCAGGGTTCCCAGGAGCTGCATGTACAACTGAGCTTGCTCCAGCAGTAGGGCGAGACCATGTACGTGCGTGTGTATATGCACTCGCATGTGTGTAGTAGGGCCAGGGTGTGACGGCACAGATAGCTCTACTCTTTCTAAAGGAAAATTTTAAATGCAAATCTAAAATTAACAGTAATCTCAAATTACCGTTCAGTCAAGACCAAATAATGCATTCCAAATAGAGAAAATTGAAAGCAATCGAAATAAAACCCGTAACATGGCTTGCCGTATGTTCCTTTAATGAATACAAGTGGAGAAACTGTCTAGTTTCTTAAAACTCTACCTTCCTCCTCCAAATCTTAATTAATGCAGGCATAATTATGCCATTTTATACCGGACCTTAAATTCAAATAGTAATAAACCCAAACTTTGTAACACAAAGCAGCTAAGGTTAATAACGTATACATCCTGCACTTCCTTCCCTCAACATTTGTCACAGATAGGTAGGAGCTGGAAACAAAATATGGAGGCGGTCGAAGGCCCTGAAACATTTTCACAGGAAAGGGACAGCCAAGCAGAGAAAGCTACATTCGCTTGGTCGGAGGATTAGGGGTTCCCACACTCGTATTTTTCCTACTGATCACCCAACATAACAATACTACTGCTTACTAAAGGACTACCTGAGAGCCAGAGACACCCTATCCCTAACAGCGCTGGCTTCCTCCACGTCCCAGCGCACCCTTGCACGACCAGCGCGTCAGTGAGAGAACACACTATACAATGAGCCGAGCGAGCAGGACACGCCATTCTATAACTTGAGCGAGAAACACTCGCGGATCTTCCACACCGCCCCGAAGAACCACAATAGCCGAGCCACTGCGCGACACCAAAACGGCTTCCTCAATTTACAGGCAAAGTTGCCGTAGGACCATTTCGTCAAAACACACTTCCAGTCCTCCCACCGGCAGGGGTGCGCGGTTCTCCCGCAGGCTCGAAGACAATCGAAGCCTGTCCCCAGACCCGCTGGAGTTGGAGTTGCGAAGCCCATCACTTCGGCTCCCGGGCTCGCCGCGCGGCCGGACCGGGCGGTGCGGAGCCGGGCGTGGGGGATGGGAGGGCGCGGGCCCAATGGCTTCCCAGGAGCGCGTGAAGGAAGAGCACGCAGGTCTGGGCTCGCAAAAGTTCCCGGAGCCACCAGCTGACAAAGGGAAGTCGCGTCCCCCCCTCCGCTGCCCGAGCGCCCCCGCCCCGCGCCAGGACCACCTGGCCGCGGCGTTTGACAGCTCGGTCCCGGGCGGGCAGCTTTGTGGCTCTCGCGACGCCCCTCGGGGCCACCACGGGGGCGCGCTCCGCGGGGTGTTCTCGGCGCCCCGGCTAGGCCGAGGAGACCCGGAGAAACCTTTCCGAGAAGCGGAGCTCAGGCCAGACGCAGCCAAGGCCGAAGTAAAAGTAAAGTGCGCGACGCGGGCCACCGGACCAGGCGTCCGTGGGGGCCGAGACGCCCCCACCGGGCCAGGAGCGCGTGTCAGGTTGCATCCGATCGGACCGGGCCGGGCCGGTGCTGACAGCTCCAGCCGCGCCGCCGCTGGCCGCCGGCCTGGCCCGGCTCGCGCTCAACTTACTTCTTTCTGGCTCTCTGGAAAGGGGAAGCGCCATCTTTGCGAGGCCGGCCCCGAGGTCTTTTGTCTGCGGCTGCGGGGCTCGGGGCCGCGGCGCCGGGCTCCTCTGGGACGGGTGGCGGCGGCCGCGGCTGCTCCGCGCTGCGGTCCTCCTCCGACGACATCCTAGTCACCGGGAGAGACGCATGGAGGCCGGTCCTCCCGCTGCTGGGGGGCTCCTCCCGCCGCCGTGCCCGCCGCCGCCGCCGCCGCCACTGCTCGGGTTCCGCCTCCTGCCTCAGCCTCTCGCATGTCCCGCAGCCCCGGGCGCGGCGGCGACAGCGGCAGGAGCGGGGCCCGGGCGAGGTGGCACCATGGAGCGGGCAGCGCGCGCACTCACACGCATCGGCGCGGGCGGGCGGGCGGCACGGGTGCGGGCGG